TCAAGATGGGAATGTCATTGAGATCGACAAATTTGTTGAAAAATTAAGGTTGTGAAGTCATAGGTGATTGGCTAGCAAACAAGCCCTGAATGGAATCATGAGGATCCATTTGTTTTATGTAAAAGAAATATAGAATGTAGATTGCAGTGTAGAGAATAAAAATGTAATGTATAAATTGGATAACATATAGTATAGAGAATGAAGGTTTGTGTATGTAATATAATTTTATAGAGCAAAAGTATTGTAGAATAAAAGAATAATTAAAAAATTATTGTAGAGAGTAGAGAGATTGTTGAATTTGGTGTGAAAAGAATGGTGGAAGTTTTGTGGTATTTATAGAAGGGAAAAAAAAGGGTCTCTTTTTCAAAGCTTGTGACTGTTACAAACTTTAAAACTGTATGGTCACTGTTAAAGGTGAGGCTTGTAGTTTATCGAGCTTATCCATGAGCTAGGCTTGCCAATTTGGTGAGTTGAGTCTAGGGATTTAAACTAGCTGAGCCGAAAAATGAATTGACTGGGCAGAAAAATAAGGCTCAACTAGGGCTTTCAACTCGGACCTGACCAAGCCAAGCCAAGCCGAGCCAATTCATTTTCTTTAAGTCCTAAAATTTGAAAAAAAAAATGAAGATTATAAAAAAATTATATAAGCAGTTGCACTGCTACTTATGTAAACAGGCAGCCGCATAAATAGCCTGTTTTTTTCACACAATTTGGCTCATGTGTCATGGGGTATTTTGACCAACCCTACGAGCCGACTAGGGCTGCTACCCAAAAAATAAGGCTCGATCCCATAAAGCCTCAAGCCGAGCTAGCTCGAGTAGCCAATGGCACCCGAGCCAACGAACCAAATTGACGTCCCTAGCTGAGTCGATGAGCTACTAGGCTCGATTACCACCACTAATTGATGTTGTAAAAGGAGGTTTAACTCTCTAAAATAGAAATAATAAGATCAATAAGAAATCTATAAAAGATGTAATAAAAAATGATTATTATATATTTTTAATAGAAAATGGAGCATTCTCAACCATGTAGAAGAGCAAAATATGGGTTTGTCTGAGTCTTTTTTTGGAAAAAATTTAGTTTTGTAATAGTGATTTTTAAAGAATATGTGTTAAAAAGTAGAAAAAAATTAAATTTAATTGTAAAATTATTTATTGAAAAAATGTGTAATTGAAAATAAGTTTGAAAGATGGGGGGCTAAATGTGAAAATGAAAAGAATTTCCAGGATAAGAGAAAAATATCTAATCGTCCCGTCTTATCTCCAACCACATATTTGGACACGCGGATATCTTTGATAAACAATCCTTGTTGGATCGTCAAATAGCAGCCACTAAAAGTTGGCTCTTCTGTGTGAGAGTCCTACACACTTAATCCTCGGACACGTGTCGGAAGGATATGAGCTGGATATTAATGGACTGATATGAACAGTGAAATCAACCTTTTTGAATCACTTTTGCAGGTGGGCCCTATTTCCGCTGACGTAGCGATTGCACCAGCTATAATTTGCCTTCTCTGATGTCACGGTTGTCTCCTGTGGTATATGTTTGTCACTTTTTCAATCGTAGGGATTAAGAGCATTTTCATACAGCTGTTAAGTCAATTAAAATCAATTTTTTAATCGTTATTTCAATATTTTAGTCGTTATTTTTGAATTCTTATCCCACAGGTAAAATTCATAGATAGGGATCCACTTTATCTCTAACTATCAAAAAAGCAATTATTAAAATCTCTAACAAATAAGCACTAAAATTAACGCTTTATTTGCCTTCTCTGATGTCACGGTTGTCTCCTGTGGTATATGTTTGTCACTTTTTCAATCGTAGGGATTAAGAGCATTTTCATATCGCTGTTAAGTCAATTAAAATCAATTTTTTAATCGTTATTTCAATATTTTAGTCGTTATTTTTGAATTCTTATCCCACAGGTAAAATTCATAGATAGGAATCCATTTTATCTCTAACTATCAAAAAAACAATTATTAAAATCTCTAACAAATAAGCACTAAAATTAACGCTTTATCTGAGGCCCATTAATTTTTTGTAATATATTATAGTAAATTGATGAAAAATATATGGTTAAATTTTTTTTATTTGAGTGTAATATTATTTTAATAAAAAATGTGATTGAAAAATAAGTACCATAGAAAAATAATGGAAAAAATGGGGCTCAAACAGGGGCTAATTTTTTAGTAGATTTTGATAAAAAAATTTAGAAATGTATGGTTGGAAAGTTGTGGAACCATAAAAAATGTGGTTTATATTAATTATTTAAATTTTACTTAAATTAAAATCTGATTTAAATCAATACCAAAACATGATTCAAATAATGAGTAAGTAAAAAATCTTAGAACCATTAATTCTGTAAAGATAATCTTGATCGAGCAAATAATTGAAAAATAAGTACCATAGAAAAATAATGGAAAAAATGGGGCTCAAACAGGGGCTAATTTTTTAGTAGATTTTGATAAAAAATTTTTGAAACGTATGGTTGGAAAGTTGTGGAACCATAAAAAATGTGGTTTATATTAATTATTTAAATTTTACTTAAATTAAAATTTGATTTAAATCAATACCAAACATGATTCAAATAAATGAGTAAGTAATAAATCTTAGAACCATTAATTCTGTAAAGATAATCTTGATCGAGAAAATACAAAATTTCATTGAGAATAAAATAAAAGTTCAAAAATAATTTATCTATCAATGATACTATATATATATTTTAAAAAAAAAGATATTTTAAATTTGGCTCAGTAACATTAAAAAATATAAAAATAAAATAAATTTTTTGTTAACGCCACAGACGACATGCTATCAAAAATCAACAATTGAAATATTGTTCCTTGGCCTGTTGAGTCACATCCCGTAATTTACCTCCATCACAAAATTCTAAAAAGGGGACGATGGGGACCCTCAAGGTTGGAGTTCAACATTTAAAAATCAACAATTGAAGCATTGTAAGATATTGCTTCGCCGACCACGTTTCCAGCGATAATAACTGATAAATGTACATTATTAATAAGCGATGGAACAACTGTCAATAATTCAACAAACATTGATTTTCTTTGGTAGTGATTCACGTAATATAATAATAATAATAATTATTATGGGCTTGTTCGGTAATCGTTATAGAAATTGATTTTTTAACTGTTATAAAGAAAAGTGGATATCATCTATGAGTAAAAAAAATAAAAAATGACGGCTGAAATAGTGAAATAACGATAAAAAAAATTGATTTTTTTGAGTGAAAAATTGCTATTAAACGAGAGCTATATAAAAGGACTTCAATTTATTTGAGCCACTTCTAGAATGATTCAAACTCTATCAAATTGTTGTATCTCTCTCCAACAAATGCAATCGTCATTTCAAATTTTTGAATACCCACCTAAAGTTCTGAAGAAAAAAAATCTAATTTCATAAAATTATATTAGCAAACAGCACATGACAACACCGAAAGACGTTGATTTCTTTGGTATTGATTCACATATCACATTTTCGTTGGTCATCATTTTGCTCCGTTAAATATAAAAGGACTTCAAATCATTTGAGCCGCTTCTAGAATGATCCAAACTCTTTATTAGAATTGTCGTATCTCTTTCCAAGAAATGCAAATCGTCATTTTAAATTTTTGAATACCCACCTCAAGTTCTGAAGCAAAAAAAAATCTAATTTCATAAAATTATATTTGCAAAAAGCACATGACTATTTCCTCAAAATTTCATTGAGAATAAAATAAAAGTTCAAAAATAATTTATCTATCAATGATACTATATATATATATATATATATATTTAAAAAAAAAAAGATATTTTAAATTTGGCTCAGTAACATTAAAAAATATAAAAATAAAATAAAATTTTTGTTAACGCCACAGACAACATGCTATCAAAAATTAACAATTGAAATATTGTTCCTTGGCCTATTGAGACACATCCCGTAATTTACCTCTCTCACAAAGTTCTAAGAAGGAGGCTATGGGGACCCTCAAGGTTGGAACACCTTTAAAAATCAACAATTGAAGCATTGTAAGATATTGCTTCGCCGACCACGTTTCCATCGATAATAACTGATAAATGTACATTATTAATAAGCGATGGAACAATTGTCAATAATTCAACAAATATTGATTTTCTTTGGTAGTGATTCACGTAATATAATAATAATAATTATTATTATTATTATGGGCTTGTTCGGTAATCGTTATAGAAATTGATTTTTTGACTGTTATAAAGAAAAGTGGATATCATCTATGAGTGAAGAAATAAAAAATGACGACTGAAATAGTGAAATAACAATAAAAAAATTTGATTTTTTTGATGAAAAACTGTTATCAAACGAGAGCTATACAAAAGGACTTCAATTTATTTGAGCCACTTCTAGAATGATTCAAACTCTATCAAATTGTTGTATCTCTCACCAACAAATGCAAATCGTCATTTCAAATTTTTGAGTACCCACCTAAAGTTCTGAAGAAAAAAAGTCTAATTTCATAAAATTATATTAGCAAGCAGCACATGACAACACCAAAAGACGTTCATTTCTTTGGTATTGATTCATATATCACATTTTCTTTGGTCATCATTTTGCTCCATTAAATATAAAAGGACTTCAATTTATTTGAGCCGCTTCTAGAATGATCCAAACTTTTTATTAGAACTGTCGTATCTCTTTCCAACAAATGCAAATCGCCATTTCAAATTTTTGAATACCCACCTAAAGTTCTAATGCAAAAAATTAAATTTCCTAAAATTATATTTGCAAAAAGCACATGACAATTTCCACAATCCAGATAGTATTTATTATTATGAACTTATTTGAATAATTATAATAAAGTATTGATGACCAACTTGATATATTATAAAAGTTGAGGACTAACTTACTATTATAGCAATATGAAGGGAATTAGTGGATGTGAATTCATCAAAAAGAAAGTGAAAAGTCGAGAGTAGCCACCTTTTAAGACTTTGGAGAATCAAAAAACCATTAAACAGATAAGCAAATATCCCGAAGAAGGATTCCACAAAGGCCACAAACAAACTTGTGGCTGTGAATTCATCTCTCTCTGCCTACGTGTCACCCAGCACTTTCTCTATCCTCCCCTGTAGCCCTCAACCAACCCAACAAAATGAATCAAAACCTCAACGAAATCAAAAGTTCTTCAATTTCCTAACACAGAAGAAAGAGAAAGTGTGCTGCTGTCTGCAAAAAGACTTACCCTTCAGATTGATAGATATAGAGAGGGAAGGAAAAATGTCAGAAGTGATAAGAGAATCTGCAATTAAGCTGTTTGGGAAGACTATATCATTGCCACCTGATAAGGGTTTTACAGCAGCTTGTCATCTTCAGCATCAGCGAAGCTTAAGTTCTTCAGTAGCATCAACTTCATGTCACGATATTAAGGTTTGTAGAACAAATATATGTCTCCAACAAAATGAATCAAAACCTCAACGAAATCAAAAGTTCTTCAATTTCCTAACACAGAAGAAAGAGAAAGTGTGCTGCTGTCTACAAAAAGACTTACCCTTCAGATTGATAGATATAGAGAGGGAAGGAAAAATGTCAGAAGTGATAAGAGAATCTGCAATTAAGCTGTTTGGGAAGACCATATCATTGCCACCTGATAAGGGTTTTACAGCAGCTTGTCATCTTCAGCATCAGCGAAGCTTAAGTTCTTCAGTAGCATCAACTTCATGTCACGATATTAAGGTTTGTAGAACAAATATATGTCGCTGTGTGTGTATGTTGAAATTAATTTGATGTTTATGATATATATTTGCAATTCTATGAGCAAGCTTTATGTTTGAAGTTGTAAAGTTATAAAGGGTTTGATTCACTTTCTGAGAAAATTTTAAAATTCTTTGATTTGGGTATAGATTCTGAGATATGGAGTCTAGATGATGATCGAATTCTGGGATTTATTGACTGAAGTTTAAGAACTTGAAATGAATCATAGACAATGATTATAGGGTTAATAGTATATTGGTCAAAGTTTGAAAGCCCCTGGTTTGTAAACCCCTCTGTTTCTGTTTCTTTTTCTTTTTGGGATTTTCTAGTCAAAATTTGATCTCTCAATTAGATAATGAGACTTTAGTTGTTATATAATTACTGTCCATATCTGTATAACTGTATATGAATCTTACGTTAAATTTCTTCATTTTATCAGAGCAATTCAGAAGGAGAACTAACCGGGACAAATCAAGATGATGTTGCCTTCAAACTGGCTGCAGAAACACCTACAGAGCAAGCAACATCATCAGAGATCACTAGTGACCCTGAGATTTTGGGAAAAGACTCGCCTCTGAAAACTTGTAGCACGGAGGAACAAATTGAGAGTGGTGTCTCTCAAGAAAAGACGATGAAGAAGCCTGACAAAATACTCCCATGTCCTCGGTGCAAGAGCATGGACACGAAGTTTTGCTACTTTAACAATTACAATGTCAACCAACCCCGGCATTTCTGTAAAATATGTCAGAGATACTGGACGGCTGGAGGAACAATGAGAAACGTGCCCGTGGGTTCAGGTCGACGCAAGAATAAAAATGCCTCTGCTTCAAATTATGGTCATGTAATCATTCCAGATACCCTCCAAGCAGCTCAAGCTATTGCTATAACCGGGATGCACTTTCCCTCCTTCAAACCAAATAGCACTGTCCTTACGTTTGGTTCAGAGAATCCAGTTGGTGAATCCATGGCTTCTGCCATTGATCTTGCTGAAAGATCACAAGTAAGTGTTGGAAATGGATTTTATGGACGCGAAAACAGAAATCCTGTCTACCACGGGAGAAGAGAAATAGGTAAGGATCACTCAAGTAGATCTTCTGGAATTCCTGTGTCTTTTTATATGACTACGCCCAACGGGGGCTGTACCGTACCAAGCGGTTGGAGTGTGCCGTTTCTATCCCATCCACCTACATCTGATAATTCTTTACTAAGTAACCATCCTGCTTCTACACTCGGTAAACATTCTAGGGACGGGAACATACTTAAATCACCAAACATGGAGACAGCAAATTTTTACGAGAAAAAAAGTGCTGAGAGATGTGTATTGATTCCTAAGACATTAAGGTTTGACGATCCAAATGTGGCCTCAAAGAGCTCTATATGGTCATCACTTGGAATCAAGAATGAGAAGATTGATTCGGCAGTACATATCTTTAGGACACTTCCTGCAAAGGGGAACCAGAATGGTAACATAGACAGTAATTCTTTGGTGTTACAAGCTAATCCAGCAGCTTTTTCCCGGTCACTTAACTTCCGCGAGAGTGTTTAATGAGACTATGTTCATTTTAGTTATTCTACAGCGGCAGAATGTGCATACGGGAACATACATCAAACGAGGAAAGGATGCTGAAACGCTACATCCTGTTTTTGTCCATCTAGCAAGTCTGTGCAGCTCACCTTAGCTGACAGCAATGACGGATTCAATCGATGAAGTATAAGGACTGTTAATATCTTCTTCCCTTGGAGACTCCTTAAGAAATCTGTTTTTGAACAGAAGTAGTAGTTCTATGTGTTATTTCGTTTATGGTTTGCCAGTAAGTTCTTTTTGTTGTACATAGCTTTATACAAAACAGAAAGAGGTGGTCGAATTTTCTTCTGAATGTACTAAAGCAGAGATCTTGTTAACATGATATATAAATAAATAAAAGCTTCTATTCTGCTGCTTAATGGTGCTTATTCTTGTTTGTGCACCGAACTCATAGAATTGCTGATATATCCCAGAACACTGCATCAGTTGATCGAGGTAATTTTATTCCGTAGGTGGCATAAGTTCGATTTTTCACTCGAGCTGGCACGCCACATTGGTCATAAATCAACCAATTTTGCCGCGTGCGCGTAAGCAGCACATTGCGCATAATATAGACACTAGCAGAACTAGAAAATTTTTCCACTGATAAAAATATGGATCCCATAAAGTGAAGTATCCAACCGTGAGTGTTGAATTTGGAAATATTATGAAAAGGAGGGCCTTTTTCAAGAAACAGGAGAAGTTCTTTGTCAGGTCCCCATTTGTAGAGATAAAGTTGAATTAAAGTGCCAAAAATCCGTCCCTTTCAGTTGAAAAGTAGCCAACCCAGTGTTGCCAAAAGGTGGAAATTTGAGGATAAAACCTTTTTTAAATTCTTGTCCCTTATTGCGTTCTTTTCCCATATCCATATCCTCTTATCTCAAGTGACGAGAATTTTTTTTTTTTATCACATCTAATACGAGTGTAATTTTCATAATAAATAACGACAAGACCTTAATTCAGAACTTATATCTTTCATGACATTTCTTCGCATTTTCATCTTCTTATGAAATGCACTAAGAAGAAGATTATACAGAAGTACAAGGATGCAATGCACCAACTGGAAATGTGGTCTGCATCTATCCACAAAAATGAGAAGCTGTCTGAGGTTAGATTTACTAATTTCTCATTGGATGAGTCACAAGATCAAAACCTATTCATTGTACATTTTGATTGGTAAGACAAGAGTGAGACACAGAGACTTCAATGTTGTTATTAGCACTAGAAGGCCACAAATTTTACAGAAATGAGTATTATACAGAAGTACAAGGATGCAATGCACCAACTGGAAATGTGGTCTGCATCTATCCACAAAAATGAGAAGCTGTCTGAGGTTAGATTTACTAATTTCTCATTGGATGAGTCACAAGATCAAAACCTATTCATTGTACATTTTGATTGGTAAGACAAGAGTGAGACACAGAGACTTCAATGTTGTTATTAGCACTAGAAGGCCACAAATTTTACAGAAATGAGTTGTTATGGGACCATTGGCATTTGATGCTACGAGCCCTTTATTATCTAAGGGTCGAATTATCACTATATTTATTCGATTTTCTATTTTTACTTCGTTTTTCATTTTTTCTTTGATAACTTTAAAAGGATTGTGGGCCATTGTAGTCGGTACATGCACCTTTTGATGTCGACAGTCTATCCTCTATGTTGCTCCTTTATTTTTCTTTTAAACCTCTTGAGAAATATGGAAAATTCAACTACTCGTCTCTCCAACTTATTGCTTTATTAGTAACTTGGTCATCGAGTTTCAACATTTTTCTTCTTTTTCAAATTTTCACTTGCCCCCACACATATCCAACTTTACAAAGTTAGGTTTTACTTCTGAACTTTGAATTGTACGAGAAATTATTTAAGCGACATATTTTAATGATTGTCAAGTGACAATATAAGAAAGGTGTGGGTGGGTTCCGTAATTGGAGATTGATTGTAGGAACATAATTAAAAATTGAAGATTGAGACCCCGTTTGACCCCCTTATTTCAAATTAAAATGGGTGAAATAGTATCTTCTTGAAGAATAAGTGGTTGAAAAAAAAATAAAAAGTTTTCGTCATATATAATATTATTTTATGAAAGAATGTTTGATTAAAAATAGGGGAGAAAAAATGAAATTTAATTAATGGAGGCGATTGGTGGTGAATTTTCTCATTGAAGTTATGTTTCCCAATGTGTAATATTCGACGTCCTTTTGGACAAAATGGGTCCGAAAATACGCATTATCATACAAAAAATACTTCGTCTCCTTTGAACTTCGAAATATCATAAAAACAGGAAAAGTCCAAAGCCTCTTCAACGCAGCCCAATGTTTAAAAAAATTTTAATTCAAAAATTTGCACGCGATTTAGGTGGTTTAAATAAGGGAAAAAGTCATAAACATATTAAATATCACACATTTTAAAATCAAGAAAATAAGTTTCAAACTTCACAAATCAGATTTTTATTAAATATTATTTATGATTTGATTAATTAATTATATTTAGGTTACAAATTTATACAATTTGATCACAAAGTAACGATTTAATTAGCCATATATTATTTTTCGATTACAAATAAAAATTTTATGTCACAACTTATTTTACGATCACAATTCAAAAATTTTATAGGTCACAGCTTGTTCATCGATCACAAATTAAAAAAAATTTATAAGTCACAAATTATCAAATTATCTATCACAAATTAACAAATTTTTAGGTCATATATTATTTTTTTTAATACAAATTATCTTTTTTATTGGTTACAGGTGAAACCAATTTAATGATCAAAATCAACCAAATAATTTGTGACCATCATCCCGATCACTCTCAACATGGCCACCGCCATCAATCCACAACCACAGTCATCCGCAATCCGAGAAGCAAAACAGTTATCTCAAACACCACCACCACCAATAAGATCCAACAAAGCTATCGCCACCCAAACACCATCACCACAAGCACCACCACCGTCCCCACCCACTACCTGAAAACATACCCAAAAATTTGTGATTTTTGAACCACATGCCACTACAAACCACCGCATTGCCACCATCGGACTCTCAGCCAACATCAACCACCATCGTCCAAACACCACCAAAAATAAATAAATAAATCAAATCCAGTTCTACCCAAATCAGAGCCGTGCACCACCCCCACCTCACCATCTCCGCGAGCACCGCTACTACTCCAACGAACCACCAGGACCACCACACCACACATAATCGACTTCATACACAAAACTCACACAGATCAGCAAACGTACACCATATATCACCACCTCTACCACCTGCACCAACAACCATCGTCACCACCACCGCACTATCACCACCACTACCATCTCCATTACACCACAACCACTACACCCACGGAAAATCCCCAAACCAGTTGCCATTGCTACCCAGGCCCGGTCCTGGACCGAGGCGAATGAGGCCTCCGCCTCAAGCCCAAGATCTTAGGGGGCCTCATTTTGGCCCCTTTTTTTTTTTTTTAGTTCATCTGGTCCAAATGAAATGCCCAACCCAATAACTAAACCAATTCCAACCCAACAATCCATTTAGACATAAATCCCAACCCACCAATCCATTTATCTAAATCAAATCCAATCCATTTCCCTAAATTCGCAAATAATTCATCTGAACTGCCTCCGCCTTTCACGACTGTGACTCCACCGTCACTCCCCTCTCAACAGTGACACAGCCTGGTGAGTGACGGTGACGGTGAGTCCACCACGAGTCTTATCTGCTTTGGCCCTTCTTTTGGCTTCTGCTTCTGCCGCCGAGTCGCCGACTTCGCTGCTCGCCTCCGCAGGACCGCAGGCTGCAGGTCCGCCGTCAGCTGACCACAGTCCACAGAAATCCCCTTCCCTCCGGCCTTCGCTATACTGGCACCTCACGCAGAGCCTGGCTCTAGCTGCAACTACAAGGCTGTGAGCCTATGACTTGTGAGATTTTACAATTTTTCAATTTTATTTTTGTTTTCTAATGTGGTTGCAAAGATTTGATTTCGTTGTATTTTTGGGTAGGCCGTAGACGTAACATTACAACGAAACCCTTGTCCACACCAAATCTTCCCCCCAATGACAACCCAAGATTCAATTCGATCTCCTTTTCTTCCTTAATTTCTTTACATTCACTGCTATTAGCCTACCACCCAATGTACCCATAAATCTCTGCAACAAATCTCTTGAAGAAGATCTATTTGTCGAAACCCCCGAATGGAAATTCTGCATTTGTGCTGTTCTAACTGCATCTCTTGAATTCGAACTACATCTTAATTCCTAGGAGCTCCAAGAATGGATTTTAAATATAATTAAAGCGAGATTTGAGAGTAAGAACTCCACTTCAGATGATTATCTTAAATTTTAACATCAATTAACCATGAAATAATATAAAGAAAAGTACAAGGTTGTGATACTGTAGTAAAGAATAAAAATCAAGTGAAAAAGGAGAGAGAAATTGTGTGTGACACACTGACACTGTGACTGTAAGAAAAAATAAACAAAATATAGCAAAAGAGTGTTTAGATAGATTTGTAATTAGAAATATATAAATATGTATTAAAATTGATCGTTTGGTTAAATTTAAAAAAAAAAATTAACCATACATTTCATAAATTTTATAAATTGTCAATCATATATTTTATTAATAGTTACTTTAATTTATTAAATGTCTGATTTTTATTTGAAATCAAATATGAGCTTGATGACAACATTATTTGATATAGTTATTTCCTTACATGTTTCTTTTTGCTATGCTAGAGTATCATTGACACAATTCAAAAATTGAGATAAGCTTACCACCAGTTTAGAAAACGGGATCATTCTTAAGGGTGTAATTCCACAATTTTCGTCAAAATTTCACTTATCAAGTAAGCAATGGCTTACCCTAAGTTGTTATTGAAGAGATTGTAAATGTTTGAAGCCTTGTCAGCTTATATAATTGCAGCCTGGTCGACTTATATGATTGCTTATTGTAGGATGAACAATTGCACAGGCGCATGTAATAACTATATTGGAAACTATAAATGCGAGATAATTGAGTTATTTTGTAATTGTTTTCTAGGCTAATCATTGGACATTACTATGCCTCCTAAATACGAGTTTGGTGCTCAAAAGATGAAAAGAAAATGAAATGAAATTGTATTAATTCAAAGTCAAGCAGGGGATATTAGCAAGTACTTCAAAAGTGACAATGTGAATGCGTTAAATAAGGATAAGGATGAAGAAGTGAGTCAACCTACCGATGTTAACGAATTAGATGATAAGGAAGAAGAAGTGATGAAGTCCGCCTCTAATAATGAAGAAGATGATATGGAAGAAGAGGGTTGCTTTTCTCTAAATTTGGATGATCCCGGGAATTGGAAAATTATTGATCAAAGAACAAGGGATTACTTAGTTGAAAGGGGTCCAAAAAGAGTTGATGACATCTCGTTTCCAAAAGACTATACAAATAGACATTTCGATTTTTCACAATATAAGCAATTGCTACCAAATGGGAAAGCAGTGAATAGAAGATGGCTAGTATATTCAGTGTCTATGGACAGGATCTTCTGCTTTTGTTGCAAGTTATTTAAAACACCAATAAATGTGACAAAAGTTGGCCAACTAGGTAATGATGGGTTCAAAGATTGGCATAATTTGCATCGGTCTATTAAAAGTCATGAAGGAAATGAGGAGCATTTACATTGCATGACTAGTTGGATTGAATTGGAAAATAGGTTTCGATCAAAAACTACAATTGATAAAAGCGTCGAATTGTTGATTGATGCTGAAAGAGAACATTGGAGACATGTATTAACAAGGATAATCGCTATTGTTAAAAGACTTGCGAAAAACACATTGTCATTTCGAGGAGATTATGAAAGGCTACATGTTGAGAATAATGGCCTATTTTTACAAATGGTCGAAATGGTTTGTGAATTTGATCCAGTAATGCAAGAGCACCTTCGGCGGGCTAAAGCAAGAGAGATTCAATATACGTATCTTGGCAAAAAAATTCAAAATGAGTTGATACAGTTGTTGGCTAATCAGGTGAGAAGTTCAATTGTCAAGAAAGTTAAAGATGCAAAATATTTCGCAGTTATACTTTATTGTACTCCAGATGCAAGTCAGGAGGAGCAATGTCTTTAATTATGCGATTTGTAGATAATTCGGAAAACTTACCTACAGTTCAAGAACATTGGCTAGAATTTTTGAAGGTAGATGACACAACACGACTTCGACTTGCAATCGAGCTTCAAAAGGCTTTGATAAAAATTGATCTCGATATTGATGACATTAGAGGGCAAGAGTATGACAACGGATCTAACATGAGCGAGAAGCACAAAGATGTGCAAAGAAGAGTCTATGAAATGAATCCCAGAGCTTTCTATACTCCATGTGGCGCTTATAGTCTAAATCTAGCATTATGTGATATGGTGAACTGTTGTTCCAAAGCTGTATCCTTTTTCGGAGTGATACAATGCATCTACAGATTATTTTCCTCTTTTACCAAGCGATGGAAATTTTTTAAAGATAATGTACAAGGGTTGACAATGAAACCATTGTCACAAACACGTTGGGAAAGTCATGTTGAAAGTGTGAAGCCTATAATGGAGCAAACTGCACAGATAAGAGATGCATTACTTGATTTAGTAGAAAGTAATGAAGATCCTAAAGTGAAGAGTGAAACCGAGTCATTAGCAATACATGAACTTCAAAATTTTGAGTTTTTGTTTGGCATGATAATCTGGCACAGATTGTTGCATGCTGTTAATATTGTGAGTAAATTTCTTCAAACCGAATCCATGGATATTGATCATGCTATCGACCTCTTGCAAGGACTTTTTCATTTCTTGAAGAATACAGAGAAATCGGATTTGCTATTGCCAAAGATGAAGCGACAAAAAAGGCAAGCGAAATAGGAATTGAAGCTGTATTTACAGAAAAACGCATAATTCGAAGAAAAAAATAATTTGATGAAAGCGGTAGTGATGAGGTAAAGCAATCAGCAGAAGAATCTTTTAGAGTTGAGTACTTTATTTTTATAATTGATCAAGCTCTATCTTCTCTGAGGACCCGATTTGAACAATTCAAACAATATGATGACACATTTGGATTTTTGTTTAGTTTGAAGAGGTTAAGGGGTGCAACTTTTTCAAGTTTGTTGAACTCTTGTTTGAATCTTGAGAAATATCTTCAACATAATGGGCGTTCGGATATCAGTGGGGATGATTTATGTTCGAAGTTACAAGTCTTGAGGTGTTATATACCAAGTGAAGTAACAAGAGCAATTGAAGTGCTACAATATTTGAAGACATTGGATGTTTGTTTTCCAAATGCTTATATTGCTTACCAAATTTTGTTAACCATATCGGTTACAGTTGCATCTGCGGAAAGAAGTTTCTCGAAATTAAAGTTGATCGAGACCTATCTCTGATCAACTATGTCGCAAGAAAGATTAAACGGGTTGGCTATGCTATTAATAGAAAAAGAAATGGTTGAGCAGCTAAGTTATTCAGGTTTGATTGATGTTTTTGCCTCTAAAACAGCAAGACGAATAGTATTTAACTAATTGTTTGAAATTTTTCGTTTGATGGTTTATAATATAAATCATTTCTATAATATATTTCGTTGTTGTTTTAATGTTATTTTTTTAAGTTAACAATGAGTCGCATAATACACCTTTGAATTTTGTCGCTTGGGGGCCTACTTTTCATGGTCGCCTCAGGGCCCATCAGACACAAGACCGGCTTTGTTGCTACCATTGCATCCCCGATGGTTTAAAAGCAGATCTAAGGAATGAAGGGGTACTGTGTGCAAGGTGGTTCCAGTATCGGAAGAGAGGAAGGCAGTGGTTTCGATGCCAGACAAGAAGAAGAAGACACCGAACAAAAGGAGGCAGTGAAAACATTGAGTTGAAAAAGAGGGAGAGGAATGAGTGAATGTGAGGTGATTTTTAGAGTTTGTATGAAAATTGGGAATTAATTTCATTATTAATATTGAATCAATATCTGATTTTTGTATGAACAAACTTCATATCTGATTTTTAAAATTGTATCTTGAAATATATGGTTAAGTGTAATTTCCACTTTAAATAAAAGCTTGTAGCATTTTACCCTGTGTAGAGATCTAAGACAAAATGAGTTGACCCATCTTTTTGTAGAGGCCCATACTGGCCCGCAATCTTGGACGAGCAAGACGGGACTGTCCTAAAAGCGAGGCTCAACGTGGCTAGGCCCGGTCAACCTCCAAGACATATCGGATTGGGGAATAGGGGATTGGAATTCGAATGAATCAGTAAAATCAAAAGAAAAATAACAAAATCGACAAAGAAATTTAAGAGGTTTGACATTTTACATACATTCATTGTACAACACAATAATTTACTGACTTCAAATAGGGTTACAACAGATTATTTATATAACCCTAATTTCAAAATTAGCCTTAAAATATTGTACCGTCCAATCTCATAGCGGAATCAACTAGCCTTTATATACATAAAATTAGAGCCATCTACCTAATATTCCCATTGCAACATTTACAGTTGTAGGTTGGGGAAATTGTCGATGTGTTTGATTATTAGTAGCTCTATTGGGCGATTTATGCAGTACGTGGTATTCAAATTCATTTCTAATAAATTTTTCAATATTTATTTATCTATTGTATTAATTATATGGGATTAAAATAAATTTTATACTTTCGATTCATGAGTTATTGGCACTTTCAGTATACTTGCTTTTCCAATTATTATTAAAGAAAAATGCTGATCCTAACTTAAAGAGTCCAAAAACTCAACACAACTATTCTAGAACAACTAGAAGTTGGGCGATGGCAGAGTGGAATGGGGGCTATTGGGTCCTGGGCCTGGGCCCCACTGGACTTGGGACAAAAATTAGTTTTCATTTATAACTTCTTCTTTCTTACTCATCTTATTTTTGTAGTTTATATTATTATTTTGTTAGGATTGACTCTTATTGTGTTTTATGTTTACTTATAATTGATTTTGGGTTATTGTTAGAAATAATTTAGGCCTATTCGATCTGATTTTGAATTTGATGTGGACATGTTTACTTGCTCAATTTGTTTAATTAAATTTGAGCATTATAAATCGATAGAACTTGCGCAGTTATATTTATAGTGAATTTTCTTTGATTGACATGTAGGAATTATTTAAATTTTTTAATGAATACTTTCTGTAATGGAATTGACTACACAATCAAATTAAAGATCAATGGATGAATGATAACTTTGTTGTTTATATTGAAAAAGATGTATTTGATAATGGAATAAACTGCTCAATCAAATTGAGGGATTGAACTTGACTTGTTTGGATGGGTGAAGAGGATGTGACAGTGAATTGTCACATCAATCATTTACCAAAGATTGTGGAAGATCTTTCACAAAGCCCAAACAGCTTCGCTCCTCCAATGGGGTTCGATTCGCCATATGGGGTCAGTTCCAGCAATTGGGTTCAACCTCTAGCATATTCGTTCATAGAGTTTCAGTTGAAGTTGCCTTATGGATAGAATGATGTTGAGTTGCGAGATTAGGTTTAGCTACCACATGGCCATGCTTGCAATCTCATTAGCAGAAGCACAACAAAAAACAACATAGATATTAGACATAGAAAAATTCTACTATTCTGAGGAAATAGGATAGGATTCTTGGAATCACAATCTCAAAACATAGTGTTGAGTATGCCATTTAAGCAAATATGGTACATAAAGCTCATCGTTATATGAAAATGGGCGACGAAGTCCTCAATGAAAACCAGAGGTTTGTGTATTTTCTCGAATTAATCTGTGAATCATGTGATAAGTGATGATGGTCTATTTGATTAGTAGATATTATGAATCGAAGTAATCTAATGGTCTAGACACAATATTAAGTGACCACGCTTTTGTAGAGTTCACAGACTTTCTTTGACTTTATTTTGTACTCCAAAAGGCTGAATATATAGTTATTTATCACTCTCAACTATTACAAATCCAATATAAACATGTACATAACTTATCTGTATAAGCCTTAAAGAGAAATACATACAAACCCACAAGTCCAAAAGTTGGTCGTGAACTCACTAGCATAGAAATGATAAGTGCGATTCAATCAGAACCAGACAATGTGGGGTTCCAATTCAAAAAAAAGGGGGGAAATCTGCAACATTATAGCAGTCTATTTGATTACAAAAATATGTATTAACAATTAAATATTCTTTTGTAGCATCCCAGCAAACTGTAACATTAAGCAAAAAAATAGAACAAATGACCTGATTTTTTTCTCTTTAATAGGTACGTTCATGTAAGCAAGCTGAAAGATAATTCTAACCACTCAGATATAACAATTGGGGATGAAATGTAAAAATCACGAAGTTTAAGATGATAGCAAGCATTATTAAGGGCAAAAATTTACATTTAAGACATAATATAACACGGATGGATTTCTTGCTCTCAATCAACTGATGTTACAGGTCTGTCAGACTCAAAAATCTTTCCCTGCTTTATACAAAGACTGGATGCCAAAAGTGTATCTGCTTCTGCCTTGGTCATTGACAAAATTAGGAGTTTGAAATCTAAACACGTATCTGCTTTCGTCTTAGGCAAAGAAAAATGAGTAGTTCAAATATTTTTCGAGTCATCACAATGTATAAATTTAAGATAAATATATAAGATTAGCAAGAAAAGGCATTAAAAATAATGAAATTATGGGAATATATAAAATGATGAGCCATATAGTTACTGTTAACATACAATTAAATTCCACACTATAGATTACAACTTCACTTTGAAGGTTTTTTCATTTTTAGACAATCTAATCTGCACGTACAAGTAATCAACTTGACTGTCACCATGAAAAACCATCTCGCTTAAGCATGTCATCAAACACAGTCGCTTAAACAACAAATCCTTGAATTACAGGTTGTTGACCTCGCTTTTCGTTAGGATGATGCAGACAACAAATACCGAGCCCACTCATGTACATGTAAGTAAATTCTAACGCGTACGGACATGTTGCTAGTCGATAGTACTCCGGGTTTGAATGTGGGAGAAGTTCTATAACATGGGACAAATATGTTTGGGTTCCAGCAATATATTTTAGGAACGATTGTATAATAATAACCAATCAAAAACAGTTGAAAGAATGCAAGATAATCAAAACTCCAACAAACAAGAGTGTGTGATACGCAAATGAGAAGACAAATAATAGCTTCAAGTAGTGAAAGTTGAATTCCTCTTTAAATGATACAAGGAAGGTTTATAGTCCATTGGATGAATATACACGTAGCTTCATCTCCTGAATCAAAGCATCCAATCTTAGATATTTATTCGAACTCACTAACATGTGGCACATTTAATGCTCCAATAGATAACAACCACCCTACAATCTAAACTAACAAAAATACGACATTCCACTCATTACACAGATCCCATCAATCATTCCAAAAAGATCATACATAACTTCATCATTTCGATAGGAGACTTCGGGCTTCGTCACTAACATAAGACTGCTTTGGTAATTATGGCTTCAAGCTTCAAATTTACATACTCCAATTTCCTATGTGGCTTCATCGCAAAGGCCTCAAGAGGTTGGTCAAATGGAGCCTATGTGGCAAGGCGTAACAATAGTTCCCCAAGTCCAAGTGTGGTTATTTATATCATGCGTGGAGTTCAGTATTAGGTGACACTTATTTTGGGCAAGTTATAAATTTTTGACAAACACAAATTCAAAGTTGAATTTGATTCTTGTATGTTGTCCTAACCTTATTCAACGCTAAATTATTGAGACTCCTTTATTTCGATAGAAACTAAGATTAATTTGAGCCAAGGAAATTTTTGAACTGTCGGAACTCATTTATTTTCATGCAAGCTAAAATTTATTTGAGCCAAGGTAGGGAAGTGCTAAACTGTGAGGCTCCTTCATCTTG